ATCTGTGAAAGTTGGGATTTCTATGCATGATTTTTTTAGTCTCTATGCATCCTTTCTGTTGCTTCGACAGCCACTGTTCATTTGTGTGTGTGTGCAGGATCCTGGATGTTCAGCCCAACAGGCTCTCTGTGGGGGGTGTCAGGTCAATAGAACCTGTCCTTCATCGGCGTGGTCAGATTGCCACCCACGACTTTGTCGGCTGCATCATGGAGTTTGCCGTCAATGGCCGCCCATTGGAGCCCAGTCAGGCGCTGGCATCGCGTGGCATCCTTGACAGGTCGGCAGCCCATGAACCCCACCTTTCTCTGTGCTGTCTTCTCGTCTGTCTCTCTTCTCTGACCTTATTGACACTCGCTGTTGGAAGTCTGCTCAAACTCTAAGCGTCTCCAGACTTTTTAAGAAGATTTTGTTTTTTAATACAAATGGCAGAATTTTGACAGGGTAAACCATTTGCAGAATTTCAGAGTTTTTTTTTTTCCGTTGCCACTCTTACTGGTGAATAGTGGAGTGAGAACAGATCTTTTAATATGCAAATTCTTCTTGGTTTCTCTATGGGATTTTTTTGTTGCTGCACAGGATAGGGAAATCACAGCTCGTCTGCTTCTTTTTTTCTGAAGTCCCTCTTTTCCAAATCTCCCCAGGTGTTGGCTCTGTGGCTTTATTTTCAAACTGACTGTCCAATTATTAAATTTCTCTGTCTATAGATGTCCAAGACTGGAAGGAGCCTGCACGGCGAACCCTTGCAGACATGGGGGCACCTGTTTGGACCACTGGTCTTGGCAACAGTGCCAGTGTGTGGATGGATTCACAGGCAAATACTGTGAAAAATGTAAGCAAAAAATGCGTGTGAAGTGTTTTTTGAGATGAAAAATATGCTTGGGAAAAAAAAACACTTCTGTCCTTATAGTGAACTGTTATGTAGTGAATATATTTATATACTGTATATATATATCATATGAGAAAATCTGACATTAAACAGCAACAATTCGTCATTCATTGCAGCTTCTAACAGTATAATGAGCCAAATACATTTTTATAAGCAGTAGTATTAGTTTTAGTATTATTATTATTATTATTACTATATAATTATCTTCTAGTTCTTCGACCCAATTACTGACAAAGCTGGTATCTGAACTTGAATCATTGCATTTGAGATTAATATAAAATAGCAATAGCATTTAAACACAGCTATTAAAGACAGGGTCTGTGATATTCTGACTAAAGGTCAGAGAGCTCTATCTGCCTAATGATTAAACCACTGCGATGATGTCTCATGCCCGAGCCTTTACCAATTAGTAATAATGATGAGAAGTGCATCTGGCATAAAAAAATGTGCCAAATGACATAAACAGATGTGATGTTGGCGCTAGGGTTTGGCTACAGACAGGCAGACTGTCAGAAGGGGGTACCTGTTGCATTATTAAAGTGTAGCCTACTATTTCTGTCTTTACCAGACTTACAACTTATAGTTTAGAACTTTTTTTACGGCAGATTAAATATGGATCTAGGTTCTGCCTCAAGAGCAAATTCACCATTTGGGGAAGTGTTCTACATTTTTCATTTATGAGAAAATATTTCTAACTACTGGTGAGAACGTATGGTGCAGCTTGTGGTTACGACAGGAAAATCATTTAGAGTAGGAGAGTGAACATATTTTATATTACAGCCATTGGAAGGTGCCTGTGAAACCAGTGTTGAGTCATAACTGGACTGACTGGCCTTCTCCATCTGTCTCCCACAGACATTACACCAGACACCGCCCTGTCTCTAGATGGTACCGGCAGACTGGATTACTCCCTGAAGCAGGGTCCGAAACGCGACGTCCTGCTCCAACAGTCGCTGCAGGGTAGGCCTGTACAACGCGGCGGTCCCAGCAGCTTGGAGATTAAGTTCAGGACACGCAGCAAGACTGGCACCCTGCTGCATGTGCAGGAGAGCAGCAACTACACGACTGTAAAGGTGAGAGAGGGAGAAATGACATCATGTCCAGAGTGATGTGGTTTAGAGCCCTTAAAATACACTCAGGTTCTTTTAATTAACTTTTATTTATACAGTGAAGAGCGACAAGACCATTAATGTGAATAGGGTTAGAGGTAATTCCCAGTACAGTCTAAACTGCTGCACCTGATGTCATAACTGTGCAGTTCAACAATTGGATTTATGCCAGTGAACTACAGGTGTTCATAAAGGAAACACACCAGAATATTGAAATGGTCACAAGGAGGAATATACATAATATAGCTGAATAAATTAAGCAGTCTAGGTTTCTTTAGGACCATGGTTCTCCAAAGTAGGGGGCCAGGCACCCTTGGGGGCGCAGAGCTAAGCAGGGAGGGTGCAGCAGATTAAAGTGAATAAATGTCTTTTTATGTATTTCTTTCTTCATGTCACAGTGGGTGAGAATATCACGTTTTGGATCAATAGTCATGAATTTGTCAAAGTGGGGGTCCTATCTACAAAATGTGAGCACTGCAGAAAAAGTTTGGGAACCACTGCCTCAGGGCCAAGAACATACAATGAGTTAAAAACTAGATTAAATTGGCTAAAATGTAACAGATATTACGTTAGCTCCAACTGAGCCTAATAATTAGAGCTAGACATTACCACACCTGTGTTTAGTAAAACCTGTCCAATAGCTTAAGAAAATGATACACAGAAATATGAAACCAACACATTCACATTCTTGTGGGTTTATGGAACAGACAAAGATCTACTTTATAAGTATATTTTTGAACAGACTTTTTGGCTCTGTGTAGTCCGTCTGCTCTTTGAATAACTCTACCACTCCGTGACATGTTTAAATATTCCCAGTAAATAGCCTGCTCATTTTCACAATACACTTTTCTTGTATTCGGCCTATATTTTGTCTGATCACCAAGATTTGATGAAAGAATCTACAACTTATTCATTCTTAGTCATGACCAGCTACCTGCTGTTGTCAGCACATTAATCATCTTTTACTGCAGCCAAACACAACAGTATGGCTGCTCGATGGTTTTGCGTCAGAAATAACTTTTTATATGTGAAGCTTAGGATTCCAGCATTATTTAAGTGATTAGATATGTATTAAAAATAATGCAGCTTGGACTGAATGTTTCTCCTTGACCCAATGGATTTTAACATTATTTCTGGTTTGATTTGTCCAAGACTAATAACACTTTAGCTTAAGCTTTTAACCAAGCTGGTGTCATAGTATCTCCATTTTTAAAGGTAGAAAGTTCACTTCAACTGTCCTTAAATCAGCAAACTTGATCCAAAGTGTAGACTAAACTCAGTCGACTACATCCTGATGGCTCTTTCAGCAACCAGGCATAAATGTGTATTCACCCTTTAGCCTGAGTATCCACACACAACACGTCTACGTATGTTGTATCACGCATCTGCGTCATAAATCATCAACCCACACACTTTCTTTGGGTGTAAACTGTAATCAAACTTCAGTACACCGTTCTCCCTCATCCTCCCTACAGTACCATTTCTCTTTTCTTCTACTCTTATCCAGTTCAGCACCCCCACCACTCCAGTCCCATCACCACTCGCTCCCTCTGTCTGATCCTGGGCAGCTGCCCAGACAGTCCTACAGGCTCATTCATCCTCTTCAATTTACCTTTTAGACCCTCTTCCTCAACTCTCATCACTACTACTAACCCCCTTAGCGTGAGACCTGGTCTCACATGATTTTGTTTTCAAGCTCTGCAGCTTCTGCTCTTCATCTAATCACCAGCATGGCCGAAGTAGTTAAGAACAGCATCATAAGTATGTCAAAAAAAAGAATTGGCAGTGTGTACTTATACTATGAGCAAGAACTATATTTATACAGAGATATTTGAAAACAAGATGTTTAATAGATAAACAACATGATTGATTTTCCAGGTTCAGAACTCTCAGTCTTCCTTGGCTTAAGGGGTCCTTTTCCAATTTTAAATCATCTCTTCCGGGCTACTTGTCATTACTGATTTTTTGGGGTCCTTGTAAGAGACAAGATGGTATTAGTTTCATTGGAACTTTATTAGACCCTTGGATGTGTTTGTGTTATAGAACCATTCAAAGCAAAAATGGTAAAAAAAAAAGTGGATTTTCTGTTCCACTGTTCCACTTATGTTTTTCTTGTTCTTTCTCCTAGCTGAGGAATGGCAACATCCACTACATATCAGATGCAGGTGTTGGTGGGAAAGTGGAGCGGACCATGGGAGACGTAGTGTTGTCTGACGGTCATTGGCACACACTTCAGATGGTGAAGAATGGCTCAGCCACGGTGATCCAGGTGGATAGTGGTCACCCTAGGGTGATCCAGCACATGACACAGGACTTTGGGGGGCTTGATGTTCTAACCTTCTCTCTTGGAGGGATTCCACCAGGACCAGCCCAGCAGAAAACAGCAGCAGGTGAGGCTGAAGAGCTTTTTTTTTTAACCAGTGATTACACTATTAGAGCCATATTTCAGACACTAACTGTTAATAAGAGAGATTTTCGCAGCCCTAACATGTTTCAGGTAATTCTTAGTGTAATTTTTAACACAAAGAATGTAACATATATAGTAGGACTGGGTGGTGCTCCTTTTAAGGAACTGTCGACTGTGATGCAGCCGTTATTAAATTCTCTAACTCGACCTTGATCTACAGAGTCAGTAATCTAAAAGAAGGCATTTATTAGAAATTCCGTCAATGTTTTGACATCAAATTTGTCATATTTAACACTAGAAACATTGTTAAAATAGCACTCTATCTGTAATTATGACAGATATACTGTGATTCAATGTATGGTATATTTATGAGTGTGTGTAAACGTACGTGTGCGTTCACACACAATGTCAAACTGCACATGCTGAAGCTCTCAAAAACTGGCATACAACCAAGAATCTCACCCGCCACTCTTGGATGGCTGTAAATTACAGATGCAGCAGTGTTTTCTCATGTTATGGAAACCTCCTTCTCTCCATACATTCAAGTGTGTGCACATGCACATCCAGTACGTACATGTGACTCCTGAGCCCCTTATAAATCCAGCGAACACTCTTCCTTCTCCAAATGAGCTAATAGTCTGCTGCTTAAACTGCTGACCCTGACGAACCAAAAACTGGTCTGAAGTCTGTGTCTATGTTACGTGCATAAGAAAATTACAGAATGTTGCATTAAATAACATACACAATTTTATTTGCTCTAATATTTACTTTTTTTAAAGATGTTCATAGGTGATACATAAATAACAAAAGCAATTTTTGACAGAAAGTAAAACATTTTTTGGGGGGTGGGTTGGACTAATCAAATGCTATGAACTAATATGGTAAAATAAATACAAGTGATTTCCTGACCTCTACACAGGAATCGGGGTACATTTCAAAACAAATATATTCTAAGCACGCAGGTCTGTGGCAGACTGCCCTCACCTCAGTGCGCGTCTCAGCAATCATGTTCTCTCGTGCACTTACTTTTCGAGAGCTAATGAAAAGACACAAATGGATTTAATCTGCACTTGGATAAATTCAATAAAATCTATTTACATCGGTGAGGCAGCGCTGTTAGGCAACACACAAAGCAAGAGATTGAATTAGACACAGAGATATTCATCTGAGCCAGATGTGTGTCTTGAAGTCATAATGGCACCAAAGATGGATTCCCTTTAAAAAAAAACACTACAAGTGGCCGATGATAGATTTAAGAGTTTTTTTTTTTATTCTAAGATGTTTTTGGGAAGTGCTTAATGCAGGAAGTGCCTGAACTTCCTTTTTGCATTCAATGCTTGAATTAATTACTCATCTAAACAAAATCCCTTTAGCTCTGATTAACCTCTTGTTCCTGTTTTTTTTTTTTTTATGGAAGCCGTCCAGTCTTAGCAGTTAAATTGAAAACCTATTGATCGGAAATGATTCATGTTTTTCTCCTTGTTATCTGCTGTTGTCTGTTTCTCGTTTATTAAATCTGTTCTTTTTCTCGCTCATTTATTTTCAGGTTTCGATGGCTGTTTGGCGTATGTGAAGTACAACAGGGAGAACCTGCCATTCAGTGGAGAACACAGCCTTGTCACAATAACAAAGACTAGTCCATCTGTCAAGATTGGTTGCAGAGGTCCCAACCTCTGTGAGAGCAATCCCTGCAGAGACGGCCTAATGTGTGTCAACCAGTGGTACACCTACCAGTGTGTCCCGCCTGGTGACTGTGCGTCTAATCCCTGCCAAAACCACGGCAGCTGTGTGCCAGATTCGTATTCGGGTTACACCTGTGTCTGCTCTGAATTCTACACAGGAAAGACATGTGAAGCCTTGGTGGCCTGTCTGGGTGTACAGTGTCCTCAAGGTACTGTTTGCAAAACAGCCAACAATGGAGGGTTCATCTGCAGCCCGATCCCCACGGCAGAGACAATGGTCTTACCCATCTGGGCAGTGCCTGCTATTGTTGGCAGCTGTGCTACTGTTCTTGCCTTGGTGGTCCTCAGCCTGATCCTGTGCAACCACTGCAGGGGCCGCCACAAGACTAAAGTGCCAAAGGAACCTAAGGAGAAGAAACCTAAGGAAAAGAAGAAGAAGAAAAAGAAGGGTAGTGAGAATGTAGCTTTTGATGACCCAGACAATATCCCACCATATGGAGATGACATGACAGTACGGAAGCAACCGGAGGGAAATCCTAAACCAGACATCATCGAGAGGGAAAACCCTTATCTGATCTACGACGAAACAGACATTCCGCTCACAAACGAGACTGTCCCTAGTGCTCCCTGCGCACCCTGCAACGGACCAGAGGCAGATATTGAGCACTATGACATCGACAATGCCAGCAGTATCGCTCCTTCTGATGCAGACATCATCCAGCACTACAAACAGTTCCGCAGCCACACCCCCAAGTTCTCCATCCAGAGACACAGCCCACTGGGCTTCGCCAGACAGTCACCCCTACCACTTGGTGCAACTAGTTACACCTACCAGCCTCAGTATACACAAGCACTGAGAGCTACACCATTAAGCCACTCCCACTCAGCCTGCCCCACTCCCAACCCTCTGTCCAGACACTCTCCAGCTCCTTTCACAAAACCCTCATCCTTTTACCGCAACACTCCAACCAGAGATCTCAATCTGGCTCGTCGTGAGGGCAGTCCTTTAGACCTGCACAATGACATGTGTCAGCCTCCACCGATGTTCAACTATGCCACTCGGCTGGGGAGGCGGAGCAAAAGTCCACAGACCATGGCAAGTCACAGCCACACCTCCAGGCCTGGAAGTCGGCTGAAGCAGCCGATTGAGCAAATTCCCCTGGAGACAGGTCCTCCTGTGGGGCTGTCCATTGAGGAAGTGGAGCGACTAAATACTCCACGCCCACGCAACCCCAGCATCTGCAGTGCTGATCATGGGCGCTCCAGCTCAGAGGAGGACTGTCGCAGGCCACTGTCAAGGGTCCGCAACCCTGCAGATGGCATTCCAGCACCAGAGTCCTCCTCAGAAAGTGACTCGCATGACTCCTTCACATGTTCAGAGATGGAGTATGACCGTGAAAAACCTGTATCTTATACATCAAGGGTCCCCAAGCTCTCACAAGTCAACGAGTCAGATGCCGACGATGAGGACTATGGTGGGAGGCTCAAGCAGAGGCGTTACTCAAGTAGGAGGGCAGAGGGGGGGCCTGGAGTTTCCCAGATGCCCCCTGGAGATCAGCATTATACATTGCCCCATAAACTGGGCCAGCAAGCTGGGGGGTTTAACTGGGACAATCTCTTGAACTGGGGCCCTGGCTTTGGGCAATATGTGGACGTGTTTAAGGACTTAGCCTCGCTTCCAGAGAATGCAGGGGCAAAAGACATTGAAATGAACAGTGGAGATGGTTCAGTGACTATTTTAAATGAAGGGGAAGCTGAGCAATACGTATGAGACTATTTATTATGTTGTAGAACATGGTAACGTTCTTTGCTTTTTATAAATGAGACTGTATATATCAGAGTGCGTTGGACTTTTTGAAAATATGCGACGACTCTCAATGCAGTAAGGCAGAAAAATGGCACCTGTGACGTGACAGAGATTTTTCATTTGCCACCTTGGAATCATTTTCCAGTCTTTATTTAAGTTTTAATCTCATCTGTACAAACATGCATTCATCTGTGAGGCCTCATTACGACGAATCACTGATGCCGCTCACCTCAAAGAGGAATGAAAAAAAAAAAAAAATTACGGCTGAACTCAATTTAGTGACTGCAGAGTTCCTTCCAGATTATCTCGATCATGCATTGCTGTGTTTTATTAACCACGATTTGTCTTTCCAGAAAACTTCTTTGTGACATCCAAAGCTAAGAGATAAGAGTGCAGATTATGTTAACACTCTGAGGGAATAAAATTCCAATGGGCCATGAAGCTGAAGAAAAAAAATCATAGTTTTGGTTGGTTTAAAAGGTTCCATTTTTTTATTTGCCTAAATGGAAGCACATGTGTTTGATCTGGACTGCACCTGTTGCTGACAGGACACGGCACTCAGACTGAATCGGAGTACACCCATTTGCTTGTACGGTATTTGAGACCTCACCAATGCCATGATCCCTGTATGTTTTCTCACAGAAGACTGGATAAATGCTTCGAGTGTGGGGGGGTCTTTATGTCTCCTGCCTTACAAACTTTTGAGGATTTCAGTAACTGGGTGGGGGAAGCACTTTGTTATCTTTTTTCCAGCTTAAGTTAAGTTGGAGTGGTTTTCTTCTTTTCTTTCCCAGATTTCTGTTACATCTGTTATATCTGTGTGTTCTGACAACCCAAGTTGTTTTTCAGGCAACGACGATGATGAAGTCGATAATAATGTACAGTAACGCTCTTATAGACCTTTCCCCAACTAAACACTATGAACCTGTGTACATTTACAAAAAAAAAAAAAAAAAAACATGAACAATTGTGGTTTTATTAGTTGTTGGTGTTCTTGTCCATTTTTTTTTACATGTATGGTTTCTACATTTTGTACTGTTTATTAACTTAATTACTTAAGCTGTGTTTTTATTGATATTTTCATATGCAGAAAAGTATGTTCTTACTTTCGGGGAAAGTAAGATTAAAGACTTATTTTTTACATTTGTTACATATGTAACATCAGTATTTTCCACTTTTGATATAACTATAACATGCTGTATGCTTTGTACCTGTAAAAAGCCAATAACAGAATAAAAAAAAGTATTTATTTAAAATTTACTGAAGAAACATTGATATATGTCGAGGTAAAAGGATTCACGTAGACATAACCTGTGAGTTTAAAGCCTGAGGGAGTCGATGCTAACTTTGTTTGTCCGTGAATAATACTTGGTCTGAAGGTAACATTATAAGATGAATCTGAGTAAAAGTAAGACTCTGTTACACACAGCCAATGAAAACATAGAGTCCACTCCATATCGTGAAGTCAATTGTTTCGTTCTGTTACATTTGGATTATTGGACAGAATCTTCTTTTTTTTTTGTCATAGCCCAGTGATTTGGTGTGCAGGATGCTTATCTTCCTCATCAATGAACAGAACAAAAACTTGCATGATGATCTGCCATGACCTTGGCGGAGAGACAGTTTCTGAGTTTCTGGTTAAATTTCTATGACCATGAAGCTCTGCAGCGAGCTCTGTTTACCAACGTTTCTCATTGGAGAGGCTGTTCCATGTTGATACTGTGATAATAATAACACTGATGATGATAATTACATGGGTGATGATGAGTGGTGGGTCAAGTATATAGTTACTGAATTTGAATAAACTGCACAGCGTCACACGCCTGTGGTGTGGCATGAAATACATCAGGCAGATGCTGCATGAAGAGCCTCCATCCTTACTCGAGGTAAGAAGTATCAGCCTGTACACACAGAGAGCACATTGTTCTACAGTCAGGAGTCATATCCATTGACATGATTTTCTTAATGGGGGGTGATAAGAGTATTTGAATACTACCCAATTCATTACCAGACCTCAGAAACTCGGAGAACATAGGCACACACACACACTTGCACACATATATCCTTCAAGTGCAACATTGCATGTTACATAACAAGACTGAGCTCCCCACAGGTATACAACATATGTTCAATACATTAATTCAGCTGGCTGTTATTTGTCAAAGTTTTACGCAGAGCACAATAAACCCACCACCAACATATCATTTCTGCCACACATGCAGTAAAGTAATTACAAGTGTGCCTCGTAAAATAGGAACAGTCTAAGCAAATAGTTTAGGATTTGTTATTTAGAGTCAGCTTATTACACACTCTGCTGAGAAGCTCTGAGGAATAGGACTATAAAATGGATCATAATGTTTGCAGATGACATTGTAATGTTCTTCCTGTGTCACTGTGGGTGTTCACTATGATCATTTGTTTTACTCTTAAGCTTAAAAACAAGGGATGCAAAAAGAGGATTAATGTAACTGGAGGATTAAAATTTTCTGCTCGTGTAAAAGTGAGTACGGACGGTGATTTGATTCTATGTACCGTATGTGTGGAACTGCAATGGAGTAGTGACCAGCTGTATTCCTTCTGTCTAATTCTACCTGGGACTGGCTTCAGGTTTCACAAATTACCCGTGAGTAGGTGGTAAAAGAGACTGAAACCGAAATAAAAATGAGCAGATCAGCGTTAAGGTTACCCAGCTGGAAGACAAGGTTAAGGTAATAGCATGGTTAATATATCAGAAAATGTGTTATGGCTGTCTCTTTTCCCTTTCCTGTCTGCTGGTTGGAGTGAGTGTGATCACATTCACCTGTGTCTCACCTGTGTCCTGTTCATTAGACTTACTCGTGTCACCTGGTGATATACCTCTTACTCACTCTGTCTTTGTGGGATTATGGTTCTGTGCTGTTTGTTCTGTTTGACCGGCAGTTCATGTGCTCTGTGCCATGTGTTGGAGTTCATGTTTTAGAGTTTTACGTTTGGAGTTCATGCCTGGTGAACAAGTGAGTTTTGTATAAACCTGGTGCACCTGAAGAGAGTCTCCCTTGTGCTGCAGTTAGGTCCTGCCTGCTTCATACCATGCCATCACGTAACAAAATGACTTATGTTGAGATGGGAACATCAATTACAAAGCTTCAAGGTGGGATAAAAAAAAGACCCAAGGTCCAATTTCTGGATGTTGTGATAGGACATTAAGCAAATTGGTAAAACACTAGAGGGTTTCAGGGTCAAATCCCACCTTGGCTGTCTGTGATATGTTAAGTAAGCATTTCTCTTGCTTTCTGGGCTGCTCACCAGGAATGGGTGGATGCAGTTAAATGCAAGTTTCTTTTCTATCTCTTCTATCTCTTCTACCTGAAGGGAAGGCAAAGAGAGTAGAAAATGAAGATGTTTTTTTTTTTTCCTTTTTCTTTACCTCAGCGTTTTGTTAGGCTCGATAAATCTGTTATTGTTGTAATAACATATTTTGGTTTTCCTGCTTTATACAGTATGTATTCGCCTCATACGAAGTAATAAAAGTAATATTTTACAGTTGTAATATAAACTGAGTGTCTTCAACGCCTCAATGGGTTTTGCAGAGCAGCACAATAAATTAATTATCTTGAGTGAAGGTGCAAAAGAGGCTCTGTTTCGTTTCCCACGGAGTCAAGGCCTTTTTGTCTCCACTAAATCCACAAATCCACGTCATCAAAACCTAATTCCCATAAAGAGGTTTTCCTTGTTGACAACAAGAGTTTCCTAGTATTTAGAAAAAGGATGTGGCTCTGAGCTGTGATTGACGTTGTTGAAAGAAGTCCTTCAAAAAGCTTGTTTATAAAGACTAGTTATTTGGTGTATTCATACACTGTAGGAACAGCAGGACTTCAAATTTTACTTTAAACTATAAGAAATGATTGTGATTTATTTATTTTTTGCTGTGGTATACTTGAAAGATAAATGAAGACGACTTACTTAGGACCTCTGACTGTTGCCTTTTATAGCTGTATGAGATTACTCAGCTGTTAGTGAACTATAAATGTTTTTTTATTTTTTTAATGGATTTCAACACTGGTTTAGAGTTTGTTTACCTTGTTTCTCATCTCCCATAGGACTAACTTACAGTATGTCACTGTTCATTAGCAGTACTGGTGTTAGTATCTCATCTAACGACTCCTTACACCTCAGACTAATTCCAGTCTAGAAGTTATCACCTAATTTTGGATGCAGTCTCCCCATCACATATGCATCAAATCTGCCAGGGCTTCTTTTTCCGGTAAATGTTCTTTAGTGCTCTGTGTACTGCAGCCAGACGATGCCTTTCAACACACATGAAAGCGTGGTGTGTATGTGTGTCTGCGTGTGTGAGAGAAGGAGATGCCTGCCTGCCTGGCCTTTCTTCATCTGTAACTCTTGTGGTTTCACTCCAGCACTGAGGGGCTCGGATTAGCCAGGAACTCTGGTTGCCACCAGCTTGAGAACATTTATAGAAGTGTATGATAGATGCTAAACAGACAACGTCGTCATCATAATCATGAGAGCCCTGGCTCATGTGTCACTGCGCTGTCAGGGAGCCACTCTGTCAGGCTCCACGGAGGCGAGCACA